ATTAATTTGATATATGCAATTGGTTGTTTATGAATTTTTTAAGTGAATCTCCGGAACAACTTTATGGTTTTACCCTTTTTATTATTTCTTATGATTTTTTTTCTTATAATTCGTTTAATATTCCGAAATGGTAAGTCAGGGAAAGTAAATGAAAAAAACTGGAAGTAAAGATTCTTTTTAACGTGCAAAGGCAACTTTTTATTTAGACAAGCGTGGAGAAGAACCAAGGCACATGGCCTCGTAACACGTCTTGAACAAAATTATTCGATGCCATTTTAATGTATAAAGTCAGCCTGAAAAATGCTTTCCCAGCCGAAAGCTTGATCACATCTGATACTCCCCCGTCCTCATTCTCTATCAAGCTGCAAGTGGATGAAGCCCAGTTAGATTTACGTGGGCAATGAGTGCAAACCTTCGACTCCGTCCACTAATCTAGTTAGCCAAAGTAGAACTACCCTTGTGGCTGAAGCAATCCCTGCTTATCATTTTATTGGAGATACTAGACGCGCAATGTTATCTGTAGAATGTTATGAATAGTATAATATAACATAAATAATTAAATGTATATAATATTATGTAAAATTTTTTAAAATAAAAATAACTATAATTGCACTTGTGCCTTCGGTTTAATAGTCTCAGATCATCTTTAAAGTGCATCCTCCCTTCTCTTGAGTAACTGTTTGAATTTGATTATTTGTAAATTTGTTAAAAAAAATAAAAAAATAAAAACAACTATAATTATATAATATTAAGTCAGCTGCCACATCACGTTTTGCAGGGAGCATTGTGCTCGTAGTTTATTGTTTATTTTATTCATATTTAATGTACACTAGAAAAAATATTTGTATATAATCTATTGTCATAAAAAAATGCATTTCTTGTTATAAAATAAAGAAACAATTACAAGAAGAAGTGTGAAATAAAAAAGACAAATATAGGCAAAGAGATCATGAAGAGATTGTTATTCTTATTCATTCTTCCATCTCCTTCCACACACTTACAAGCCCTATGTATAGGGTGGTAGAGTGATAGGAGTTTTAAGGATTCAAAGGTAATATAAGAGTTAATCATCATTTAAATGTATGAGATTATGAAGTGTTAATCATTATTGTAATTGTATAGGGATAGTAAAAGTTATATTATTACTTAGTGTATAAATACCATAAAAAGTGAGGAGGTAGAAGATAGGAAAGATGAAACATTTACAATATCCAATTGATTTGTAATATATCTAACCTCTGTTTGTATTTTTTACTCTTACTAAAAGTATTGCATTTATTTCATTTTTATTGTTAGAACTTAGAAGTTAAATAACTTTGAGCCAATGTTAGTGGTGCTTTATCTAAAATGAATATATTTTTAAAGTTTTTTATTTTATTTTTCCCATTCCAACATTTCTCTTTGTTTAAAAAGTTCTCATAGAATTTAGTAATGGTAGTAAAAATATAATAAAGATTTGTAGATATGAATTTTTTTTTTACCCCTTTAAGTAGTCCTTGAATTTATTTGATCTTATAAACTCATGTCTCTTGTTTTAGGACCACTTAAGCTCTGCATTTATTTGATCCAGCTAATTAACGACATATTTAATACTATTTAAAGTCACGTTAATGTCACAAAGTTAAGGCTCTATATATGTCGCTTCACAACCCCC